ATAAAGGTTTCCATAGATTTCTCAAACAGGATTAAATCTTTTCCAGCAGACAAAAATGTAGAAAATTGCGCAAAGTCTCAAAACATCGGGGAAATGCAAAATGAAATAAGGTCATAAAGATTGTTAGCTTACAATCTTGTAGAAAAATTAATGTCTCAGTTTAGCAGCGGCAGTGGAACATAAATTCTTCGTATTGTAGTATGATGTACTTTTAAGCACATTGGTTTCTAAAGCAGATATTCTGCTACACACTTGCTGCTCATCAATGATCCACCGAGAAGACGCTATAGATACTCTGAAACAAAAAATATATCCACTCAGAAGGAAATTAACTACTATCACGAAACTCAACATGTATATAGTATATGAGGAGATAAACAGATGATTAATTCTTGAAGACATTGTTGGGAGAGTCGCGCAGTATGTGGACGAGCGTAGTCTTGCTGATCAATGGCACCTGGGCGACTTAATAGCTTAGGTAGTACAATAGTGATATATACATATATCAAACAAAATTGAATTATGACTATTATATAAATTATTTGTAAACTTTAACTTGTAGGGCTCCTCACTTTGATCTATTAACTAAGTGTTGAGGAACCTAGTGAACTACTAAGCGAATAATCGTTCCAACTGAGAGTATAATAAGTCTAAAAAATAATTATAAGTATTAATTATATAGAGTATTAAATAATAAGTCTAAAAACAGAAATGTTAACTTAAAAAGGCCCTTTATTGCTCAAAATAAAGTTTCACGGTCGGCCCTTTCTCAGGGAGTACAACAAAGCCTCCACTTGGGCTTAAACTCAAAAATGTAAGAAATAAGAACTAACTAATGATTAACTAAAGAGATTTTTGCCGAAGCTAACACAGTTCTAAACTAGTTGGCCTGTAATATAAAATTAGCTAGCGAAGCTATCAAAAGGCACATAATACGGCCGAGCGTAGTAACAGTTAAAGATATGTATCCCAAAGGCAAACGAGAGTTATTCAGGAATCCCAGTTCTCTATCTCGAAGTCAGTGGAACTTTGATTTAAATACTTACTCCTTCTCAGGCTTTTGCTGCCTGATTCCATTAGCATGGAGTCCATCTTGGAACTAGACTTCTCCATTTCTTCTAATGCATTCATCTACTTCTTTAACTGCCAATCCTATTTCCTCTACACTTTCCAGTGTCAAAGTATCTTTTGCACATGTGTTTCTCTTTAATACATCTAAGTTCATTTTGATTAGCGTTTAATTTGCCTTGCATTTTTATTATCATATCTTCATATTTCGATTCTTGGCTCAACAACACATTTCCTAAGTCTTCAGCTTTCTGCTGTAATGCAGTAACAAATTTATTTTGAAGAGAAGTCACAACTGGTATTATCACCTTTCATGAATTCAAATTTTGTTTTTGCCGCGTCACCTGACATCCTGCTTCCTGCTCCTACCGCACAAGCTTCCCTGTTTGATATGATTCTTCTAACAATCTGTTGTTAGGACATGATTGTCTGTACTTGAATATTATTTTGATTTCTTTTTTATATTTGAGAAGATCATTCAGAGAAGAGCTTCATGAATGTCAGTACATAATGCACACTTAATAAGTAAATTTCTCGCTTTAGTAAACCTTTGTCAAACGCGGACTTGCAGGATGCGATTTTGCATATGCGCGTTTCTTTTATTGTCTCCCTTTTCAGTTATACGGGGTACGCCACCCAGACGGTGTAGAGTTAGGGGATCCTGACTGCGATACCGAAGGGCCCGAGTTCGAGTCCAAGAGAAGGCATGGATGTAAATTGTCTGTCCCTTCATAATGATGACCGCCTTCATAACGAAGATCGGTAACGGTGGCCGCCTATTAGGTGCATCCACAATAAAATGGTCACCACTTCCGACCTTAGGAGTGGCCAATGTCGAAAAAACAGACAAGTGCTCGCCGTTCGGAAAAAAAAAAAAAAAAAGTTATATGCAGTACACCGCAGAATATCGGCCGTGTTGCGATAATCCTCTTTAATAACTGGTTTGAAAATCCATTCCTTAAAGAAGTCTGGTATTACTTAGAAAAGCAAAACCTGAGCTTTAAAATTCTTCTAATTCTCGATAATGCTTCAGGACACGGTACTGAAGCCCTCGCAAGATCGCATCCAAATGTATAAGTTTAATTCCTTCCTCCAAACACCACTTCCTTAATCCAATCAATAGACTGAAGAATGATAAAAACAATCAAAGCCTATTATGTCAGTCATATTTACATGTCAGGTATGTCAGGCGTGAATAGGACACTATATGAGAGATATTCAAAAACGTTACACTGTTTGCCACGAAACGCTTAATGAGTTGTGTCAGACATTGCCCCAAGCAAAAATCACCAGCTATTTAAAAAAATATTTTATGATATATCTACTTTTTAAGCAGTAATATAAATTCTCTCAATTAACATTTCTTTCACTTTTCCCTTTTAATTTCTAAGTTTGTATAAATTACATATATTTTCGCAATCAGAACTGTACCTCACCCGTTTTTTTCACAGAAAATTAACTAGGAACCCAATCTTGAGGAAGGGAACCCAATTTTGAGGTGCCCGCATTGTGTTAATAACGTAACCCCGCGTTCGTTAAGGTTTTTCTGTACTTGTTGCATTTAATTTCATCCCTGCAGATATTAACTCCATATCCAAATCTCAGAAAACCTAGTTGCTCATTGTCTTGTTAGCTATACCTTTACAAATTCCGAAATTTTATGCTCAGCTATTGTTACTAGACCCTATCTTGTAAGCAATTTTCATTTTCAGGCGCGTATTTCGTATTATTCTTAAACGAATCAAGTTTATGTCTTTAGAGTTACTGAGCTGTGCTAATTCTGAGAGTTTGATTTCGATCGGTGTATCCGACAGATGAAACCTGCTCGTTAAATCATTCAAAGCTAGTGTAGAGGCACCTTTTATTCCGTTAGACTCCAGTACCTGCCATGAGCATTTATTTGAGTGTCCTGATGAGTGAGCGGATGTAAAAACGTTAGGAAATATCCTGTTGTATAACTAAATTTATCATTTATTTTAGCGAAAGTTTTTATGCATGCATAACGCCAAGCAAAAGGAAATTATGTATTTCTAGATTATTATTTATTTTCTTGCAGGATTGTGGAGGGTAAAATACTGGTTTAAATTTTTATATTGCCTTTTAGGAGCATAGAAATCATTTGTTGATCTTGACAAATCATTTGTTGAATAAACAAGTTTGTAAGGAATGTAATTTTCATGAAGCTGAGCACTGCAAGTTTTCAGAATGCTATACATCACTGATTTATAACCTATTTTGCCCCATTCCCCCGTCCTTTCTCAAACTCGAAAGATTATTTTTAATGTGTTTTATGAGTTATAACAGAAAATAAAGAAAATGTTGACAAATGCGAAAACTTGAATAAAAGTAGTTTTTATGTTCGTAAAACTAAAACTAAGTACTCAACAGCTAAATAAAATACTGATCGAATTTCCGCTTGAACTATGAAATCCCCTAAAAAGTGAATTCTCCCTCGGTTGAAAACCCCTGCTATACATTGTAGGGTTCGTCCCTCCTATTCTACTAAATGAACTTTGAGAAACCTGGTGAACTGTTAAGCAATTTATCGCTGAGTTCAAATAACTGAAGACGTAAACTCAAGAAGGGTTAAATACCCTTTATTTCACTCAAAATAAGATGAACAGTTGCCCCCTTTCTCGGGCTTGCAACAAAGCCTTCACTCGGGCTTGAACTCAAAATAAGAAATAAGAACTAACTGCAACTAACTAAGAGACTTAGTCGAAGCTAACACAAATATCTAATGTAGTTGGCCATTAATTTAAACTAGCCGGCGAATATCAAAAGGCACGTAATATACGGCCGAGCGTAATAGCTTGAAGAGAGATTTAGCCCGAAGGGAAACACGCGCTACTCAGGATTCCTAGCTCTCTCTCGCGCGAAGTAAGTTGAACCTTCCTTAAATACTACTTCTAACTCATTTGCATTCAACGCGATTCTAAAACCTCATTCTGGTAGGGAGTTGTAAGTGGAACCAAAAATTGATAGGAAAGCACTTTAAAATTAAAATAACTGTTATGAAATTAAAATATACCTTACAACATTATAATACACTTTTACTGTCAGTAACCACGGGTTTCTTGCCCTATTCCAAAATTTTTAGATGCCGTTTTTTATCGGCTTCGTTATATTCACATAAAATATTTAACTAAAAAGTTCTGATATTCTTTATTATTTTATTCTTTGTACATTTCTGTTCATTAGAAAATTTTATTTGCGTTTATATTGTAACGAATTATCGAATCGCCCCATGCTCGCTGATGTAGCGTGAGGGGTTGTCACGTCTCGTAGCAAATTCGAAGATACGCAGTTCGTATCTCGGCGAAGGAGCAGTTGATCTGTCACTTTTCTTGCTCCGAAAAACTTAACAGTCTTTATAGGGTCACTTTTGCTGATGCAAATTGTACTTCTTTTTAATTAAGCCCTTTAAATTTTTTCCACGGTTTACCGCTTTCCCCTAAGTTAAAGTTTAATATATCTCATGAAAACGCAATGGTTTTATAAATCAGGAAGAATGAAAGCAGTATAACAATGAAGCAATTTCTTCCTGTATTCATTACTGAAATAGATTTTTGTACTTCGGGTAATGATTGCGGAAAGAAATGTTTCATGAAAGAAAAAAATAAAAAAAGTATTTTGTACTCTCACGGCGAATATTAAAGTATTTGCATAGCGTATAAGTATGCATGCCTACTCTAACAAGATATTTAATCTCTCTACTATATTCGATTTTCGATAATCATTCAAATTTGGGCATTCTTAGTTGAATCTAAATAATAAAAAACAGCATATTTATGAATCTCCGATAACACAGAAAATAAAATAATTTATTTATTACAGTTAATTATTTAGAATATAAATTAAAAATTAAGTTTTTTATGTATGTACTTAGAAAGGGAATCATTAATAACGGAACCTTTTTATCCGTATTTCAGAATTGGTGAAACATTTCTACATAGAGCTCTCCGTCCGTGGCTTTGGAGTGATTTAATTTTCAACTGTCATCCATCAGGGCGAAAGTTTAAAACCAACCTTCAAAACGTTCATGGGTTTTCGAGAAAGGTATGGGTCTGTTTCTGAAGAGGCATATTTTGACATTTTTGCATTCTTAAAATATTTATACAATACAATAAAAATGGAATTATACATAGCTTTTTTTTTTTTTTTTTCCAATTAATCATAATGATTTTCAGAGTAAATATTAGGAAGAGGTAAATCAAAAAGGACTGTTCAGTTCTTTCAGGTTTGAAATTTTTTTATTATAGATGTCTTTTAGAACATTAAAATTGCCTCAACAAAATTTTGCAGTTATAAAAATGTTTTAAAATAAGTAATTTCGAAAATTTGATCGGTGAATGTATGTCTGGAAGGTATATTACATTAGACTTAACCGAGGAATATTTAAAATAAGATTTTAGAATACGATTTGGTTTCACTGAATACAGTAAACTCTTATCGAGGGCGAAGTTTACGTCTTTACTACATAGCGCGTATGACCTAAATCGCGTTCCACAAAGTTAACTTTGTATGGTGGTGTGGTGTATTTAATTATGGCAAAGCACACTAGGGCTATCTGCCTAAGGGGAGGGATGCCTTGTGGAGGACTATCTAAGCGAAACTGGCTTGTATACACGTTACACATGGGAAAAACCACGAAAACACCCATGCAGCCAGCCCGTTCGCGGGATTCGAACTTCGGACCGAATTACCACTGTTCAGCGACTTTACCGCTCGGCCGCTGGTGGGCTAACTTTGTATGTAAAAAATTGGTTAGTAACATCTCAAATTAAGAAAGTATGTATAATTTGTACAAACCTTAATATTATGCTGATTAAAAGGAGAAAATTAAACAAATGTTAACTGAGAAAGCTTCTATTAGTGCTTAAAAAGTAGGTACATGATACAATTATTTTTTTTAAATGGCTGATGAATTTTGCGTGGGACGATGTCTGACGCAGTTCATTAAACACTTCGCTGTAACAGTGCAAAATTTTTCGATAGTTGTCATAAAATGTCCCCTTCTCTGTTCGTTTGGATCAATTTTCATTATTAGTTCCTCCACCTTAATTCGTTTAACTTTTTGTTCATTAGATGCTCTTTATTGCGAAGAAAAATTTATACATGTTATACTTTTTGATTAATTTTCATACACTTGAATATCTTTGAAAATTCGTTTCCGAGTCCAGTGCTGATATATTGCTAATTTTCGCTTTTTCAATGCATTTCGTTAAGTGACAAAAACTCAGTTTAGAAACTTTTCTTTCTTAACACCTTGTATTGCATTGCTGAACCGAGGCCATGCTTTCATTTTTATTACATAACATGCAAATATTTTAAGAGAGGCATATTTTTTACATTCTGTTAGCACAATTTTAACCAGCATTTTATTGTTACAGAGACTTCTTTAGTAAAATCTCAAAGGTTAAATTGAATGTTATATATATATATGTTCAGTACAGAAAATTTTACTAACTTACCAATATTACTACCGCAATAGAAAACATGCAAAATTTTTCATATTTTTTCCTTTACAAACGCGTACACGAATACCCACATTTAATAATTAAAGGAATATTTTCCTGTATCAGAACTAGAATTTCGAACGAAATTTAAAAATAATATCATAAAAAATTTTTAAATAATGTCATGTTCCATAAAATTTATCTATTTGTGATGTCGTTGCCTTTTCGCAAACGTTTTGAGAGTGGGCTCTCGGTAGTCGTTTGGAAACTTCGAAATTGTTTTCTCTTTGCTATTGGGAACTATTTTATCTATGCTGTTGGTATATGCCGATGAATACTCGATGCTTTTTCTTTTGTTTTATTTTCAGTTTATGAGTTATTTAAACATTAAAAATATATTTGTAGAACGTTTATGTTGACACTTGTGATAGATTTCTTGGGCGTTTTGGAAAATGTATGTATTTTATTCACGTGAATGAAACTGATGTTTCCTTAAAAAGTTTTATTATTCAGAATAGTTGTCAATTATGATAGAATGCCGGATTTGTTCCCATTCATATGAACTTCAGTATTCCAAATCTCACATGTAACTGTAAGTTTTCCTATTAGAAGACGAATGGAATAAATGCAGGTTATGCAGACATGTAAGGTAAAAATCTGGAAGTAAACGAAATTCTTCAGATCTAGTAAATACAGTATGATGTGCAAATACACTAGTTATCATAAATTAAGGAAAAATCACAAAAATTACGATTACTGAAAAAGTTACATGTAGAATTTTATGAAACTTACTCACAATATACAACACATAGTAAGGTATCAAATAACATAAAAAGAAATTACCAGACAATTATGGTAGTATAGAAATTATGTATAAAATGAAAATGTATAAAATGAAAAAAATCGATGATGTCAGTTTGCTATAGTAAAAGTACCTTCAATATGGAATACAATCGCCTCTAGAAGCAATACAGCACATTCAGCGATGTGTGATGCTTTCAATTATGCGGTCTATCAGTTCCATAGGAAGCGAGAACCATTTCTCTTGCAAAGCAGTTGCAAGCGCGGCAAGGGTCTGAGGGGGCGGATTGAGAGCAGCTAGAAGTCTCCCTAAAGCATCCCAAACGTGCTCGATAGGATTCAAGTCCGGGGATTGAGCTGGCCACTCCATGCGCATAATTGTTTCCTGTTGAAGATAATGATCTATGTTGGAGACCGCGGCTGCAGACAGACGATTACATAACGGCTCGGCGAAGGTCAACAGAAGAAGCGCCGCATCTGATTGGACTATTTTTTCAGCTTGTGTGAGATATCCATATTAAATCTTTATATTAATAATCCCTGCTGTGATTATTTAATTTGTAACCTGCACGTTGTAGCCCTGTGAGTTGCAACATAGTAAATTTGACGTCCGCTACTTTATATTTTTGATAAAATATGGATATAAAAGTTTTGAAAGCAAAACGAAAGTGGCTGAGAACAGCTTTTACGGTATGCTGCAACGATATAGCTCAGAAGATCGAAAACAAAAGTTTAGGAAGTGACGAAGTCAGTACGTTGTTTCAGCAGATTCAAGACAAATTCTCACGTTTGGAAACAACTCAAGAAGCAGTTTCGAATTTGTTGCTGAGTGATGATGCCCTTCAAGGGGAATATTCTGAAGATTTTTTGAAAGCAGAAGAATACCGTGACAAGTTCTGCTTGATCTGTTCGCTGTTAGAAAATGCAAAGAAGGGAAATTCGGTTTCGGAAGGAACAACAACCGAGCAAAAAAGGAAATTCAAGCTTCCGAAACTTGAATTGAGGAAATTTAGTGGAGAACCGAAAGACTTTCTTGCTTTTTGGTCCCAGTTTGAAAACATTCACAACGACCTCTCCATTGTCGATGAAGATAAATTTCAATATCTTTTACAATGTGTGGTAGCAGATTCTAAAGCGTCAAGATTGTAATGATCCGGGTTGCTCTACAGCTGCTGCCTTGGTAAATGTTCAAGACAATACAGGTAGGCGAAATTTACGTTGTATTTTTTGTGAGAAATCCCACAATTCTGCCGAATGTTTTTCTGCTCGCAAAATGTCTTTAGAAGACAAACGAAAACTTCTGGTGCAGAAGCGCGCCTGTTTTCGCTGCCTACGAGTTGGACATAGTTCACGGGCATGCAAAACTAAAGTAAAATGTTTAACATGTGATAGATTTCACTATACCATTATGTGCTCAAATGGCGAACCTGTAAAGCCAAATGAAACTGACAGTACTGTTATTTCAAGTAATGTGTTGTCTAATCAGTCAACTGTTAATGAAAATGTGTATTTGCAAACACCAAACACTTGTTTTGCAAAAAGTTTTTGAGGGTAGACAACTTACAGTTCGTGCGATTTTGGACAGTGTTTCTCAGAAATATTATCTTTCAGAAAGGGTTTTCGCGTTTTTGCAACTGCGTCCTAAATCGAAACAAACCATTATACACGGTTTGTTTGGGGGGGGAGAGAGACAAGTCCTCATTCCCATTTAGTGTTTGATGTTAATTTAAGAAATTTTTAGGGCACTTATGACCATAACTTTGAAGTACTTTCTCAAAACAAAATATGTGGGTGTGTTTCAAAAGTAGTTGATCCCAATACCCTAAAAGAATTAAAAGAAAGAAATATTACCTTGTCTGATTTGCAAGCTAAAGAATATGACATTGAATTGCTTTTAGGAGCAGATGCCATCGGGGACATTTTTACTGGCAGTTCTCTGAAACTGAACTCTAATGTAACTGTAGTTGAGACTAAATCCGGATACAATGTGATTGGTAAAGTAAACAGCTTATCTAAAGAACCTACTTCAGCTGCTGTTCCAGCATTATTACAAAATAATTTGTGCAATAATGTAGTTTCGTTGCATTGTGCTAATCTCAGCGTAACTGAGCTCTGGAATTTAGATGCCATTGGCATAACAGATCTAACTGAAGATGTTAAACGTAAACTTGCTCACTCTGACACCGTTAAGCAATTTAAAGAGAATTTAAATGTTCTTCCTGATGGCGGATACGAATTGCCACTACCCTTTAAATCTGAAATTCTGTTACCTAACTATAATCTATGACTTTTAAAAGGCATAAAAAAAATGTGTCAACGAATTAACGAGGAAAATCAGATGAATATAAGATAGGTTTTAAGGAATGTAAGACCTTAAAGTAATAGAAAAGGTTCCTGAAACTGAAATTGATAATTTGAGTTATTATTTGCCCCACAGACCTGTTATAAAGCATACTAGCCAGACAATGAAGGTAAGGCCGGTGTTCGACGCTTCAGCCCGAGAGAGAAATCAACCGTCCCTAAATGTTTGTTTAAATAGAGGGCCGAACTTAATTGAACTCATACCTGATATAATTGACAGAATGAATTCTGTTGGTTTATCATCGGACATTGAGAAAGCATTTCTTCAGCTGAGTATTATCCCAGAACACAGAGATTATTTGAGGTTTTTTCTTCCAACTCTTGAAGAACCTATGATTTACAGACACTGCAGAGTGGTGTTCGGCATTTGTTTATCTCCGTTCCAACTCTCTGCATCGATAGAGCATCTCTTGGATAATTCCCCTGCTGAGTTTGACGATGTGACCCAAAAATTAAAGCATTCGTTTTATGTTGACAATTGTGTCACTGGGGTTCACGATATCAAACAGCAAGAAAATTTTATAGTTAAGGCTACAGAAGTAATGGCTCGGGGATGTTTTAACCTACGGGGTTGGGAAAGTAATGTTCCAGGTCATTGTATTTCCTGTAGTTCAGGTATAACTTCTCTTCTTGGAATCTTATGGGATTTGGATAACGATACATTAAAATGTAATCTTAATTATTCAATGGATAATGAGATAAGTAAACGTAATATTTTGGCTATAGTACATAAAATTTCTAATCCGCAGGGTTTTTTGAGTCCAACTACCTTGTTACCTAAGTTACTATTACAGGAGGCTTGGACTATGAAATTAAAATGGGATGACCCCTTGCCAGAAAACATTCAGAAAACTTTTCAGAAGTGGCGGGATGAAATTAAATATCTTGAGAAAATTTGTATTCCTCGATATGTAGAGATAAATGAGAATTCAGAGCTGCATCTATTCGTTGATGCATGTAAGAGCTCCTATGGTGCATGTGTTTACATTAGAGCTGTAACGCCCGTGGGAGTCAAAATTCGATTGATCAGAGCCAAATCCAGGGTAGCGCCGTTAAAATCTCTGACAATACCTCGGTTAGAATTGATGGCCTGTTGTATTGGCGCGAGACTGGTTCACTCAGTATACGCCGCCTTAGACTTGCGTGATTTGAAAATTATTTGCATGGAGTGATTCTATGGTAGCACTGTGGTGGATTAAGAACCGTGGTGATTGGTCAGTTTTCGTTGCGAAGAGGTTAGTTCGTGTACTAAAGGAACTGTTGAGAAGGACACTCGGTAACACGGTTCTTACAACCGAAGAGTTGTTCACAGTATTGTGCGACTGCGAGTCAATAATTAACTCTAGACCTCTTACCTCTCTGTCGGAAAATCCGGATGATTTAATCCCACTTTCCCCAGCCATGTTTCTCATCGAGAATCGTAGCTTAGGTGTTCCTGATGTTGATTTCTGCGATTCGAAAGGTCTTCGAAAAAGGGCTTGATATCGCCAAAAACTGCTTAATGATTTAAGGCATAGATTTAGGAAAGAATATTTAGGCCTTCTCGTCCAAAATAAGAAGGATCCATCGTCAGAGCTACGGTTGGATGAAATTGTCCTAATAGAAGATGACATCAAAAAACGGATGCATTGGCCTGTAGCTAAGGTCATTCGACTAATTCCTGAGAAAGATGTCAAGGTGACAACTGTAGAACTAAAGACTCAAGCTGTTACGCTGCTTCGTCCCATTCAGCGAGTCTTTCCATTGGAAGTGCAGTTAAGGGACACACCCACTGATCCCATAAACGATAACTCTTTTACTAATTCTATTTCTTCAATTTCTAGTGATGAGCATTTAGATTCTAATGACTCTAGTAACATCCTGCAAGGTACTAAAGTGTCGAGATTTGGACGTGTGATCAAGGTGCCTCAGAAATTGGATCTCTTCGACCAGGTACTGTATGTCTTTGAGCCAATCTGAGTCGACTCAAAGAGGGGGAGAATGTTGGAGACGGCGGCTGCAGACAGACGATTACATAACGCCTCGGCGAAGGTCAACAGAAGGAGCGCCGCATCTGATTGGATTATTTTTTATTATTCTTATTTTTTCTTTAACTGCGAACTAAGCGGGGAAATTCCCTTTTCAAGCAGTTATGTATGCACTTAAAGTAATGTAACGTTTTCAGCTTGTGTGAGATATCCATACTAAATCTTTATATTAATAATCCCTGCTGTGATTATTTAATTTGTAACCTGCACGTTGTAGCCCTGTGAGTTGCAACAATCTACGATGCGGGCTTGCTCTCAAACATGGACTTTTATGGTCCTCGCAGATGACGTATTCCGAGTGCAGCGCCACTAATTTGCATATTGGAGTTTTACTCAGCTATTCTTACTTGGCAACATATTCAAATTTTACACGGTTTGGCTTATTTTTGAGGGAGTTATCGCTATTTTTTTTTTTCCTTAATTTATGATAACCAGTGTATTCTTCCTATTCGAAGCTTAATTTTTGGAATAACATAGCATATAAAATGTAAATTTACTAAAAAGAGATATAATGAAGATCAAGTACTCTGCAAAATCTGGGCGGTAATTATACAAAACTAGTTATACGGAAGATTTCCATAAAGTGATTCAAGTGAAGGGAACACGCCAGCAATCTCCTGAAACTCTAAGTGAGCCTTTGATCTTCGCTCTTACGTAGAATTTACAATTCTACTTAAGTTTTGTAAGAGCAGAGATTAGGTGCTGACTTAAAGTTTTAGGAGACTGCAGGCGTGTTTCCTTCGTCTATTATTTTTCTATAGTGACTGTTGACCCAGTATCCATACTTTATTCATAAAACGAACAGCATCGATAACAGTTAATTAAACTGTCACCAAACTAAATAAGAAGTACACATAGAATTGGAAGAATTTTATTGAAAACTGATTCAAGAACTTCGGAAAAACAATAAACGATGAGCTATATTTATCCGAAAAAAGGCTACTTGTTTCGAAATGGGATTTTATTTTGGCTCTCTATAAGCAGCGTATCACTTTTTAAATTGTCGCCACTAGAGATATTATCACTCTGTATTATTTTTAAAGAAATTAAATAATGAAGAATCTGCATGTATGTTCCTCGCACTGTGAAAAATCGACGGCACTTAGAGACACCAAAATTTGAATAACATAGTCCTCTACCCGAGCATGTGCATCTGAAGGCTTGAATTTTAAATTTCCAGTTTTTATTTATTTATTTCATATCTTGTAAAACTTAATGAATTTTTGATTAACAAAATCAGCGATTTCAAAGTGAATAGTGGCAACATTGTTAGAAACGAAATATATTTATCGCCAACGCAAGAGACTGTTACCTTTCGGATATCTTTCAGTTTTAATTAAGCAACTCGGCTGTATGAAAGCAGTAAGTTGTCACGGCCGGGAATGAAATACTTTTATCTTCCAAACGTATCTTCCATTCAGTAAAGCTTAAGATACTTTCAAATTTAATCTGGAAAGTCAATGAGTAATAAACTAAGCGATTTAAAAGCAATAAACACAGTTCTCAAGAATATGTTTTACTACTTTATAATATGATTGATTTAAATAAACATGTATTAAAATCATGAGATGTCTAATTAGAAATATTCAATAATTTAATGAAATAAACTGGCGGACTCATGAAAATCATTATATACGTTTTCTTATTTACGATAACTATTTTAACTAGCGGCTAGTTTTTAAAGAGATAATAATATGGCAACCTCTAACAGTCTACAGGGAATTCTAAAGACATGCTGTTTTGAAATCTTTTGATATTTAATAAAGTTAACACATAAAAGAGTTATACTAAAAGAACAAGAAGAGAAGATTACCATTTTGCTAAGAAAAGTCAATATTGATATGATAAACTGAGAAAAGACTTAAAAAACTGTAAAAACTTTATGCCAATACTTAAATTTATGTTGTAAATGCATAATAATATAACTAAAAAGACAGAAAAAGTGTTAAGACGAGTAAAGTGCAAGAACAAACTATTAGACTGCGAGATCAGCGACAGCGTAAAAAAACCTTAACAAGCCCTTTTTGGGCGACCATCAAAATCCGAAACTTTTCAGAGTTTTGGAGGAAGGAAAATAGGGTGGGGAGATAGTTTCAATTGGACTACCGTTCTCAACACGTTCGTTTATGATTTTACATTTTTCAAGAAATATTAAAAATTTCTACATTGTTGTTTTCTGAACAGTTTTGTTTTTAATTTCACTATAAATGAATCTTTCAATGTACCTTTCATCTGTATGCAACTTAGAGTCAAAAACTTAGGTTCATTGTAATCAAATGTTAACTATTACGAGCTCACTGTAAGCAGAGTTGAGTGCAATTGCAATGTAGTACGAAATATGAGATCAGGAATCTTCGGGACTTCAGCGATTCTAGATTTTGGAAATTTCTGGATTTTGAACCATTAATTTAAATCTAGTAAGATGACATGCAGACATGGGAACATTGGGGCTTTACGTATTGTTTAGATCAGCTAGAAAAACGCTGACTTCCACAAGCATTCGGACCGAAAATGTGATCGCGACTAACATCATTACAACGGTAATCACTGTGCGCTTTCCTAGCGTGCAAGTTTTTGACAGTTATGTGGTGGAATCTAGAGTAGTGGGGACAAAAGTAATTTATGGCACACCTTTTTTCTTTGAATATTATATTCTTCCTTCCTAAAATTTGTAAGGGGGGGATTTGTGCTGGTGGTCCAGAGATCTGGATATTAAATCATTCCGGACTTCGGACTCTGAAACCGAATGTGCTTGTCTTGATCTATTAATTCGACGCCAATAAATATGCTTTTTTTAAGATAATAAAAAATATTTTAATAATGCGTTACACTCGCTCTATATCCTGTGGAGTTAGGGCTTGAAACCAAAGCACTATGCTAAATGTACTACCATATTTTTTGTTACTTTTTCTAATGTGTGCTAATTTACTATGAATCTTTTATGTGATGTATTTAATAATAATATGGTAAACATTTTGCTTGCACAACTATGAGTTAAATTTAGAAAATAAAAAATACTCTTGGCCCTTTTAATCATTTAAAATTGAGTATGTCTTGTACATTTAGAGAATCGTGTGAATGTGGTGATGAGTGGAACTTGAGAAGAGTCTAAATTTAGATAGTATGAAATTTTAGATTTTATGTTCTCATCATTAGCTTATTAATTCTCTAAAATACTATATTCTTAATCATCAGATTACTGTTTCAGGTTATAAAAGAGAAGAAAGAATATATGCTTCAGTTATCTTCAGGAGGAGGAATTCAAGCAGAGGACGTTGATAGAAGTCCTTCTCAAAGAAAAAAGAGGAAGGCGTTTTTGGAATTACTTTTAGAACTTCATTTGAAAAATGAGTCATTCACAGAAGAGGACATCCGCGAAGAAGTAGATACTTTTATGTTTGAGGTATGTTTTGATTTTTGAAATACCAAATTTGCAACAAAAATTGTACGACAATATAAACATTATAATTTCCTTTCATTCATGAAGCAGGAGTTTAATTAGCAGCCGAATATGACCTTTGGAAGTCGGTGTCTCATACTGAATTAAACATTTATACTGAGGTCAATAGATATTGTATTTTAAAGAGAAGTTTTTATAAAAAAAATAAAAATAGCAGCTAAAGAAATAAATAGCAATAATCAAATCATAAAATAGCAGTGATTTTTTTTATTGTAAGTCAAATGATTGCTCATTTAAAACAAAGGATACATTTCGTTACATTAAAAGCACTTTTATGATTCCTTTTATTTATTTTTTTTTTTTTTGAAATGTTCACACATTCCTCTTTTGCTGATTTATTCTAAATTAATTTTCTTAGCCGAAATGAGGAAGTACAAGTAATATTGCCCTAGTGCTCCTAAACTCCAAATCTTTGGTGCGTATTCTGCAATGAAATACGATATTTAGAGAAAGTACTTTGTATTACATCCATAGAATTTATCAAGAATAAGTTAACTGACGAAATCTTAATAACAACTAACTGGTAAAGAAACATATTGCGATTATCAACTGATCAGGAATTTTTATTACCCAAACTGATAATAAAAGATATATGTCTTTCGTTTTTTGAACACAACAGAACCAAATAATTGCCTATCTGCACTATTTATTTAAACAAGTAGCTATGAAATATAACTTACGATAAGGGCTTAATCGACTTTAAATTTTAATAATTTTATTTCTTTTAATACATACAGTGTTGATGATAATGTTGTAAAAGTTAAATAATGAATATATAGTGAAATATAACCTATGATAGTGAAGTATAACCTAGGATAAGGGCTTAATTTACTTTAAATTTTAATAATTTTATTTCTTTTAATATATATAGTGTTGATGATAATGATGTAAAAGTTAAAAAATGAATATATTGCTGCGTGCATATGGGTTCGTAATAGATTGAATGCACAACTCCAATAAAAAGTTAATAAGATTTATTCTTATCACAAGAAAGTAACACATCCGCTAATCCTCGGTTTTTCCTCAAAGATATTCGTACAATATCACACAGTAGCTATATTCTAAAATTCTAAAACCTTAAATAGAACGCAATCCAAAGCACAGAGAAAGCTAATCCGATCTCACCGCGAATTCTCTACGGTCAACAACAATAGTTATCTAAACAACTGAACTGAGATGTTTCTCTCTGGCTTCTTAAAGTTTTTAATCAGTCACGAGAAGGTTCTCGTAATTTCTGTTTTCTCGAGGTTTCTGGAAAGCAAGAGTAGAATTGCGAGATATCTATTTATTAAATGTTAAATGCACGTGCTCCTGCATTTTTAATTTTACGGCGTAGATTTCTTTTAAAATAAGTCTCGTGCTACATTGCACGGGAATATAAAACATTTTAATTATAATTCTAGTAAAAATAACTAACTAAATACAAAATCCGTAACACTGCCTCCTTCCCAAGGACTAGGCATCAATGCAATAATATACATTACATTACAATAACAAACAACATAAACAATTATTGCAATAAGTAACTTAAAACAAATTAAATACTATCAGACACTAAATACAAATCAAATAAAATACAAATTTAGAAACAAAAAGGACCATGGTCTTATACTATTTACAATTACGTACATTACGTACTATGACCATAGTAAAGATAACCTATCGTAATGAACGACTTTAAGCTTAGAGTTCGATGATTTACAGATCCCAACCACTACGTCGTTCAGCCCGTTTAGGACTGTGCACGGATCATCCCAAGGTGATTGTAGTTTCGGACAGAGTCCTTTCCGTTGAGTCGGATTTCACAACCACACCTTGTCTCCTTCGTTGAATCGATATCCAGTAGCTCTCGTGTCGTATAGGGTCCTCATCTTCTCCGTCATCAACAGTACTGGCTCACGTGCAGAATTATGCATCATTTCAAACCGGTTCTGGAGACCTTGGATATATTCCTCGTGCGATGAAGGCGCATCCGGAAGGCGACCAAACAAGAGATCACACACACGAAGGTCACGACCGAAGAGCATCTGTGATGGGGAATAGCCGGTAGTCTCGTGGACAGCACTGCGGTAAGCCAGTAAAAACAGTGATAATTTCTTGTCCCAGTCCTGCTGGTTTCTGGAAACCACTAATGAGAGGTTATTAAGGATGGTTCGATTGAACCTCTCTAGCATGCCGTCCGACTGGGAATGTAATGGCGTCGTTTGGGTTTTGTCAATGCCGAATAGTTTGCATAGTTCTTTGATTACTACCGAGGTAAAATTCCTTCCCTGATCGGAATGTAACTGAAGAGGCACTCCGAACCTGGAAATCCAGTGCTGTATCATCACCTCAGCTACTGTAACAGCTTCTCGATCAGGAATAGGATACGCTTCAGACCACTTGGTGAAGTAATCAATGAAAACGAGTATGTATTTGTTGCCATCAGTAGTTCGTGGCAGAGGTCTGAAGATGTCAAAGGCGATACGTTCAAACGGCGCACCTACGTTGTAACGTTGCAGCTTGCCTCGGCTGCGTTTCCTCAGTCCTTTCCGACCTGCACAGGCATCGCAAGATCGGCACCACTTTTGCACGTTATCCTTTGCATTATTCCAGTAAAAGCGCTCACGAAGTCTCCACAAGGTCTTCATTATTCCAAAGTGGCCTCCCGTAGGGCTGCTATATAGTTCTTTAAGGACGTGCGGGAACTTCGAAGTACCAGCTGCCATCGGAAAGGCTTTCCCATCATCCGATTCGAATTTCCGTTATAAGATTCGAATTTCCGATGATTGATATATATACATGATTTAATTCCGCTTATCTTCGTCTTACGCTACTGTACTCTAATTTCGAAGTTGTGACCTGCCTTTTGATTGTGACCATTTAATTTAAACACATGAGGATGGCAAGATTTAATTTTAAAGATTCATAGCATAAATTATTTTTAATTACGTAACAGCAAACATTCTCATTTCCTTTTACCTTGTTTTAAGTGCCATTATACTAAATTAGGTATCATCCCCTCAGGGTCATGACACAACAGCTATGGCTATTTGTTGGACACTGCATATGCTAGGTTTGCATCCGGAGGCACAAGAAAAAGTCTTTAGGGAATTGGATGATATATTCCGAGACGACCCAAATCGTACTGCAACACGTGAAGATCTAACACAGATGAAATATTTGGAATGTGTTATAAAGGTACATTTTATTGTTTAGGTTTCCTTAGCATCAGATTATCTGTCTTTTTAAAATGTATAATATCCCCTTAACTGCAAACAGAATTTTCGCTGAATATATAAAATTATATTTAATTAAAAAATCTTCTTAGAATTAACCAACTTGCATTAAATGAAATAATGCAACCTTAAACTTTCAATAGAATGCCTGAATATGAAATGTCCTCCACTCCCTTATCTGAAAACAAAACGTATTTATGTTTCAGTTGTATTTCTCATTTAGATTTTTTTCTGTATAGTAATATTTGGTTTTCTATTTGGTAAAGTGTAATCGAGTAATACTTATTGTTTTCTTTTTCAGCATCTCAGAACATTTCCTCCGAAAAAACTATTACTTTACAAAAATTTATGCTATTATTCAAACTTTTTAAACTTAAGATATATATATATATATCTATATATACATATTTAATAAATAGAACAAGTTTGCCTTAAGTCTTATATTTTATTCACAGATCAGCTCTTAAGAATAAATTCAATTGCATTATTTAGTGAAGTTTCGATGTTTTTTTTAACCACTAATTTTCATAGAGGTAACTATAAAGTTTAAACATAACTAACTATTTAATTGCAGCTCCTTCCTGTGATGAATAATTGTCTGTTCAACCAGATATAAATCTAATTAAACTTAAGTAACAGACTCAAATGCTAAATTAAAAGATTTATTACTTCTTGTAGTATAACTAAAATTAGCTATTACTAACCACTGTTAATTAAGAGTTTCAGAAATTCGTGTATTTTAAGCACTAAAATACAAAATCTAACTTAACCCATTAACTCGACTCCGGCATTAGTGATTCTAATCGTACTCTTTAGTTGATACAAACTTCCCTGACCAATTCAGGGGTCGGCTAAGTATAGGTTCATCATCTCAGGCTACAGGAAAAAAAAAACTATCATAAAAGTAATGTGTTACCTGATATTAAAATTATAACTCAATGCACTTCAGAGCACAGATGATGCAGTTTCCGTGTTTTAAGAACAAAATTATCTCATCAAGTGCTTATCTCAGCCAGTTTATGCACTTAGCGCGACAATTAACTGTTTTATCTATATAGAGAAATACAGTGTGAGTCGAAAATATGGCTACATGTAGATTGCATCGTGTGATGATGGAATGACACTGACCCATAATACTGTGATGACAAAGTATTATGGGTAGGAGAAATGAGGTAGTGCCATTGGAAATTTAAGTCTTCAAAATTGATGAACAAATTCAAGAAAACTCATTGTAACCTTAAACTGCTTGTCGTTACGAATGCTTCCGGTTCTCGCCGATGTTGCTGCAACAGTGCTGCTGAGATTTCTCATATTTATTTTTTTATTTTTAGCACCAGTTGTGTTATTAATCTTAATCCTCACTATTTTGTCCGTATCACTTTTGTTTCTATATCATTTTTCAAATAAAAGGATGTTGCCACTATCGGCATGTATTATTTTTGAGGAATAATATAGGGAATAAAAAATACGAGTATATGGCAAGACTTAACATTTCTGTCGGTAATTCTAAAGATATATTCTCTTAAATATTTTGTGATTTTGTTGTTGAATTTTATATGGCATTTTTATTTAACGATTTTAAGTATCTAAATAAAGTTAAAAGATAAAACGCTGCTAATAAAAAGACCTGAGGAATGATAAACTCAAAAAAGACTGACAAAAACTCGCCCGAGACTATATATATTAAATTTTAAGGATATGCTATTTTTAACTATTTTGAGATTTTGCTGTTGAATTGAATTTTATGTGGTGAAGTACGAAGAATATAATATTTAAAAGTTAACACACAAACCGTTAACAATTAAAAGACAAAAAAAACAAGTTTTCCAAGCCATCTTACTAAGAAAATTAAGCATTGATATGATAAACTGAGAAAAGGCTAAAAAAAATAGAAAAAATATGCCAACACTTAAGACTGCATCGAAATATTCCAAACATATGCTAGAACTGCATATAGCTAAGTGCGAAGAAAATTATGCTTAATAATAAAGCTAAAGATACAAAAAGAAATGGATTAGCAGGCGTGAACGCAATAGCAGACTGGTAAGCTGCGAACTCAGATACGGCGTAAAAAGCACGATCGTTAAATTCTGAACCGTTTCAGAACTTTTCAATATACATATGCCAAAATTTGGTCTAGAGATTATGTTTTTAAATATTTTTGGAGGGCATAAGTAATCGTTTTTACGTTTTCCCACAATAAGCTGCATCAGTGTCGCATTAAAAATAACGTCAAGTCTCATGGCTTCACGATTATTCTAGGATCAAATGCTAACCCAATCATTATTGGTAGGAAATCCGTCAGCAGCGAAACCAAACTGCGAACCGTAACGTAATAAGGTTGCTGTAATGCAAATGCTTTAGAATGTGTGTAATGTACAACTTAGATGCTCCAATATTAAATTTTATTAAATATTTGTGCTTTTATTGAAATAATCCCAAAATATAATTACTTATTATCGTGATCAGTGCTGAGCATCAGATAGATGTCAAGCGTTCACCTGATTTGTTTATTCTCGATAAATGATTTTTCTGATTTTATAATTATCATTAGTTGCCCCATGGGCGACTAAGCAAAAGCACCATGTCGCATGTGTAAATTTTTGCTGCATGTTCAGCATCGTATTATTAAACTATTGTGACTTGTACGTGAGTCTTATTTAAAATGAAATAAATAAATTAATTAAGAAAATTAATGGAAAAAGTCTGGAAGCTTTCAGATTCTATATTACCGCCAAAGGGGCGTTTTTGTAACGTTTTATGTTACGTTTATTTATTAAATATCATGTTCTCTGCACTTAAAGCATAAAATTCAATTCAACAGCAATATTTTAAAATATTTAAAAAGAGTATATCTTTAGAATTTGCGATATACAGTCTCGCGCGCTGAAGATATAACGTAGGTCTTCACCTGAATATGGGCATCTGTAAGAACAAATTTGGAATTTGTTTTGTTATCTAGTTCATATTTTATAAAGTATTTATAAGTTTTTGATTAAGAAACTCAAAGATCTTAAAGCCAGCAATGGCAACACTGAACAAAACAAAACAAAAAAAAAAAAATATCTCGAGCGCGCGAGACTGTGTATCGGAAATTCTAAACATATACTCTTTTTAATTTTTTTTTCTTTCCCCCCGATATTGCTGTTGAATTGAATTTTATGTTTTTTTTTTTTTTTTTTTTTTTTTTCTGTACAGTATTAGTATTATCATTGTTCGCTTTTGAATCATTGAGTTTGTTAATCAAAAATCCGTTGAAGTTTTACAAAATATGAAATAGATAAAACAAATTACAAATTTACGCTTCCAGTTGCCCATAATCGAGTGGAGGAGTACATTATACAAAATTTGATGTCTCTAGAGACCGTTGTTTTTTCACAATACGAGAAACATACATTCATGCAGATGCTTCATTATTTAATTTATTTAAATATAATGCAGGGCGCTAATATTTGGTAGCAACAATTTGAAAAGTGAAACGCCGTTTTATAGTGTACTACGCTAAATGCCAAAACGACATTAATAGCCCTTCTGGGAAAATTTCCCCTTTGGACTAATAAAGTTTCAAGTTCAATATACCACTTGCCATTTTTCTTTACAGTGTCCAATAATACATTGCACAGAAGTGCAACCATATTACTGAATCATCCTCTATAATTGTTTTCTGTTTCTCTGTATAGATAGTACCCCTTAAATTTAAATTAATAAACTGATTGAAACAGTAAAAAAAGAGTTGCTTTACAGCTGGCTTTTACTGCTAAACAATTATGCCTGGAAAAAAAATCTTATTAATTTCCAGAAATAACAACATGTTGTGCTAGTTATGAATAAATAAGGAAAATGAAACTTAACTATTGTGAATACATGATAATGCTTCTAAAAACTAGTGCAACTCTAGCTTATTGAAAGACGTTTCAGTGCATATGATGTGGTACTGGATGTTTTTAATTTTAGTAAATGAAAAGAGTTCTGTGCTGTCGATAAGTGTTGAAGTTTGTGTCATACCTGCATTTCGGATCCGTATATTTAGCCAGTATCACATAATTCCTTTTGAGTGCATTAAGCCACCATTAAATTCTCAATGGGTTGACATGAGATTTAACGGTTAAACTAAAACTGGTATTTACTTCAACTGAATTTCGAGTAATTTCCTTTGAGACGTAAAACATCTGACTCATATGTTGAGACCTAAGTTGTTATAAGAAAGAAAAAATTGTAATGAATTTAATGAGTCCACCTAGCATAATTTTGCAAGTCCAGCTAGTAGTTAACAACAATAGAGATGAATATTGCATTTATTGCTTTCAAATCACTTAATATGTTAAACAATAAAAGATGTATAAAATTTGAAAGAAAAATAATATATCCTATGCTTAACATACTAGCGCGGGGAAAATAAAAATAGTTTATTTCGAGAAGTGGCAACGCGTTTCTTTTAAATCACTGGATTTGTTGATTAAATTTGAAAAACAAATAGCTTACTCTTCGGAACAGGTTATTTTTAAGAGTTTTTTCTTTTAATTTGAAGCAAACGTATCTTACACTTTTCCGAGTGACAATGCATTGCTTTTAATCGCTGAGACGGTTTATGAAAATACATTAAATTCCCACAACAAATGAAACAAAATTTTTAAAATTCGGGCTAGGAAGTGCGTATATTCCGGGGGAGGACTATGTGTATGCAAGATTTGGTAGTTCTAGATCCCACCGTTTATATACCGTCGTTTGTACATTTATTTAATAAATAAAATAATATTTTTTCAGTTTGTTTTATAATCTGTTTCCTTCTCAACCGTAATTAATCCTTAATTAAATGCTCAGTTTTTATTATGAAAGAGCATTGTTATTTTGATCCGGTTTGTTTTTGCCTATATTAATGTACTGCATTTAATTTTTAAAGGAAACTCTTCGTTTATATCCGTCCGTTCCATTCATTGCGAGAGAATTAAATGACTCCATCGAAGTCGGTAAGCTGTTTATTTATTGAAATTATTGATTAATGTTGCAGTTGTGACGTGTGTTGTTTTTGTGTTCTAGTTGCTATGCGAACTAACACAGAATGCACTTTAGTTGCATTAATCGATTGGTTAAATAGACCACTTTTTACAAAAGAATATTTCTACGAAAGAGAAGTGAATACCATTAATAAATGGAGGCATCACTATGAGTTATTGCACGATTTCTTAAAATCTGGATCGCGGAACTTTAGGAATCGATTAATTAACAATCAAAAGTCTGATAGCGAATTTTAAAGCTAAAATTTGATTCAATGTAAAGTTAAAAAATCTAATTAAAATTTCATGTAAATTAATTGTTATTTCGTTAATGAGCCTTTACGTTATTATTCCTTTTGTTCAATTAGTCTATGAATATGCCAATTTTCTACTGAACTGATCACATGGTTCAGTTAACCATTAGTTAAACTATTTATTTTTGGCCATCCAAACTGACAATATCCTACTTAATTTTCCTATAATGTAATCTCTTCTTGTTCTCATCCAGTCACCCTGGCGTTCGTCGACCTCATGCAGTTGTCAAATAGTTGAACATAATACCTATTCCTAGATGAATATTTGTTTAAAAAACAGAAGATGTATATCTATCAAAATGATGGTAGCACAGTTTGATGTTTTGTGTATATGTGCTCCGTATTGATAAAAATGACATATTTCCTCTCGCGAAAATAGTTTTGAAATTGCTGTGCTGTTTGCTGTCAGTAAGTATTCTGTAACCATCGCGCTAAATTGTCCACCTCGCCGGCATTCACAGAAGGCAAGTTCTTGGTTCACGTCTGCATGGACCATCTGTCAGTGTAATGTGTTTTCCAAGTTAATGGTCATAACAGCTTATAAGTTCAGGGTAAAGCCTATTCTACAAAATATGCTAGTGTATGAAAGAAAACTGAATGAGAGAGACTAACGGGCATTGAATCGGTTTGTGGGATCGAAAAGGAAAGCAACTGCATTATAGGTAACTGCTGAGCTCAATCAACCTTTGCAGATTCGAGTATCAACTATTACAGTTAGATAGCAATTACCATTTATAGTATTAAGCACCAGTTGTAACATATACGATTGCAAAGCGTTGTCTGTAGTGGAGCCGGAGCGATAAACACAAATCCTGATTGACTGGTATATGAAAGTCTTCCGGTAAACGAATAATCTTTCACGTTTGTTCTCATAACAGGATATGTGTATATCAAGGGAACACCTAAAGAAGTCTGTAATTCGAATCCCTATTACCAACTTTCAAATATGCTGAAAATCTGACATGATTGCAAGCCATATTATAATACTGAAAGAGAGATTGACCGAGAATGATTAAATCAAAATTTTAGCTAATTAGATCCATTCTGTGATGCAAGTATTTTTTATTGTAGGATGATAAAATCTATATATCTAGACTGTGGTATTAGAAATACAAAGACAAAATAAGATATCATCCCTCACACGCACAAATTTTCGGACATCAGTATCGTTGAATTATTAAGGAATAAAGTAAGCAGTCGATATCCATCACTAACATCTCGGCAGCACCTTTCACGGTTTTCTGCGTTAAGTTAATAAAATATTCCAAATCAACTCTGAGTAGCTGCTGCAAACTAACAAATTTTTATCAAAACAATAAACGGTGCTTTAATTATTTTGACAAAAACTTGCTAATATGCATGTTACATGTTAATATTAGAGAGGTTGTAAACTATTTTGCATGTAAGAATTGTAGATGTATTTTTGGATTATTTTAATTATAGCCATAAATCATATCTGTGTTTCAGGAAAATACAAAATACCGGGGGGAAGTGTATGTTTCATTTTCCCCTGGATGTTACACAGGGATCCAGAATCATTTCCAGAACCGGAGAAGTTTGATCCAGAACGCTTTTTTCCTCAAAACAGCGTTGGAAGACATCCATACTCTTATGTTCCATTTTCAGCAGGACCTAGAAACTGCATAGGTAAGTTCACCAAAAGCATTTTTGGAATTTCTTTTTGTGTGTTTCACTAAAAGTTTGAAAATGAATGATAGCTAAGCAGAAAGAGAACTATCATTTCTAATTCCCTTGAATCATTTTGATAGCTACTCAGTTTTTAACTTTTATTAAGAATATACTGAAGAATAATCAGGTTTGAAGAGTCTTAAATTGTCCCGATTCTATAATTCTGTTGAGAAAAACAATTCTGACAGAGATGTGCCCAGCTTCTTAGTTAATCAGAAAAATATTTTCATCTCAGTTCCTACTGTTTTGTTATGAAGATTCAAAGACGTCGTCATTTGCTAAAATTTTTCGAATTCACGTCATTAACTGGGAACTTGTCTTTGGCTATATTTTTCTGCTTGATTCTAAAAGTGCAGGATTCTTTAAATTAATTAGATAATACGTAAAAATGCGTGAATCAAAGATGATCGCTCATATTATATTGGGTCATCCGGAAAATTCTGCGGTTTTTCTAATAGAACCGCTTTTTCTTCTAATTATTGTGTCACTGCTGATTAGGAGTGACACTGATTGAAGCGGATGTGTAAATACGGTCTTTTCTGATCACGTTGCATATTCTAATTATGTGCTGTAACATTATTTTTATTTCAGCACAGTGTCAAGAATGGAGAGCACAAAAGTTCAATATCACCATATTATGCTCTTTTTCTTTAAAAAAAAGGCCACTACGATGTGTGGGTTCCCTATACTTTAAACAAAATATACTTTAAATAGAATATGCCTGCTCGAGCTCCGGAATGTGATTCTTTGCTGAAAAAATAAAGAAGCTCCTTTCTTGAAATTGCTCATCACTGAAAATCAGGCGTGTTATAAAATAATAATGTTATAAGAAAAATATCATGGGCCTGAGTCAAAGAACCTTTTTTAGTAGCATCAAAAGGTGACCTGCCTCCCAAGAACGTGATGCTTTGTGTATTGTAGAACTACGAAGAAATGATATAGTATGAATTGTTGCCACAAAACAAACAACAAATTCTGAAATATATTATTCTCAAACGGCAGTTTTAAAAGCAAAGCGCCCAGAACTGACCTATATTTGAGGTGTTTTCTCCGGCATGACAATGCCGGGCCCCCCACATTTCGGTGAATATCAGACAGAAACTTTCTGATTATGGCTGAGATGTTTTGTATCATTCTCCATATTCACGACACCTTATCTCCTCAGATTTTCATCTCTTCAGGTCACTTAAAACTAACCTGGAGAACTGAAATTCACTTCTTTGAAGTCAGTCCAACAGCATCTTAATAATTCCTTTGCAAATAAATCTAACTACTTTTGAATAAAAAAATTTTCCAGCTGCCGGGGAGATGGCGAAAAGTCATAGAACAAATGGTGATTATGTAATTCAATGAAATTTTCTTATGTTTTTATGTTGCTTTATTTATAGTTATCATAAAAAAACCGCAGAACTTTCTGGATGACCCAATACAAACTCGTATGGCATCAAAATCAGCAACAGATTTTAATAATCCCCTTTTGTTTAGCAGGTGTATGTTCGGCTAAATCATCTAAATTGGTTAAATTTAGCCATAAGTTTCAATCTGATAACGGATTTCTTTCTTGAACAGGAGGAAGATCTGTTTTAGAATCCCTGACTCCATTGTTTTTACCTTTGTCTTTAACTGAAAAAAACATTTCTGTGATCAGATTTTCTAGTTACCTTTGTGAATTTTCTAGTTTGCGTTTGTTTTCGCAAATAGTACAACCATAATTTTTAAGTTTTTTTAATAATTATTTTAATTTTATTTTTTAGTTTCATGTGGCCTTTTTTTTCCCTTACTATTGGGCTGTACGATTTTCTTAGATTTTACCTTTTGCACTACTTTATTCATTTAGTATACCTCATTATAGTACTCAGCTAGGTAAAACCTGCGCAAACACTTTGCTTTTTTTCCCTCAGAAAAATTAGAAACAAATGCTAAATTTATATCACCAAAGACTACAGAATAAATAGATTCTAGAATATTCTAGAAACATCCATGCGATCGTAACCTGCTCGAAACGAAATCTAACCTGCCTCTCAAATAAAGCTCGTGTATTCAAGAAAGACAAAATGTAATCATTTTTATATTGTATAATGTATTTTTAAACTATCTTATTTTTCAAATATTACGGTAATATTAATTAGAATATGGCAAAGCACGCGAAAGGAATGATGCCTTCGTCAAGGGAAAAGCTAGGTTAGGGAAGCTGGCTCGTATTCACGTTACACATTTGAAAACCACGAAAACCAACCATGCAGCGAGCCCATTCGCCTGAGATCGAACTTCACGTCAAAATTTTGGGAACAATACTGTCTTATTTTTAGGGAATTATAGCATGTGTCCTTTCGTACCATGACGATTCCAATATGGTAGCACTGAATGAGCAAGTCATTGTCAATATTTAACATTTTAGAACTAAGATCTTAAAGTAAAAGACTGCTAATGAAATAAGAGATCACAAACACGTTTCAAAACTTTGAGCAACAAAACTTTGAATTAGGATCTATAATTAGAAAATAAGATTTAAAACAAGCAGCCTAATTTAGCAAATAAAACTATTTCACTTAATGTGTGTGAATTCTAATACCTTATGAACTTACGTGGGATCCAATATGAGTATACTTTAATGGTGTTTGGTTCTTTGCGGTTATTGTTATTAAGCTATCTCATTGAAAAAGTGTTAACTGTCTCATTTTAAGGTTGTCCGATTTTCAGTTTTTTAGAATTTCCGGCAACGCATCGAGTTCATGCTGTATTCATTGTCAGTAATATAAACAATAAAGATAGTACTGTTTCATGGATTTAATTCTTCTGTTTCTTTTTTCAGGACAAAAATTCGCTATTATGGAGGAAAAAACAGTGTTGGCTAACATACTTAGAAGATTCCGGATCGTATCCTTGGACCCCAGGGATAGAGTGAATGTTATGCCTGACCTCATCATTCGCAATGTAGATCCTCTTCGGATACATTTCACACCGCGTTGCTGATGTCTCCGGAAATATGAAAATTTTAATATTGTATGAATTGTGTATGATTCTTTCAATGGTCTCCAACGCAGAACTTTTTGGAGCGGTTGAAGACTGCATCTCGCATGATGTGGAATAGATCAAAATGAATTTCATTCCTCGATACCGATATCTCCAGAAGGAGAGAAATTTGATATTACTTAGTTAATACAATAAAACCCATATCTAGTCAGTATGTTACTTAGATTCACCAAAGATTATATTGAGCTCTGAGGTTTATATTTTGTTCTTTAAACTCCTATTCCTATTGATATTATTGGTAACGTCTGTGATCCTCTGTGATCTTATAAATATCGGTCAGAAAACTATCTGAAAATTGCTGCTAGAAGCAATGATGTCGTAAAAATATTTTATTACTGTTCAGCCTTTTTTAGTATAATATGTATCTCATATTTTAAAGTATTTATTCGATAACCAGCTTATTCCACGTATCTCAATACATCCCCAGATCTCATGCTATTTGATATGAGTGTTTTGCATATTGCTTTCGTTTTATCCATGATAACTTGTCATATCAACAGTTTAAGGGAGAAAAAGTTTTTTATTTAGCCATTCACATATCAAGTGTTTCAGGATTACCAACAAACAGTTTTTCCGAATCCAAAAATAAATTTTAGAAATTGAAACAGATTGATGTGTAAAATATTTAAGAACAGACTTGGCTTCTGGATTGCCCCACCTAGTCATTCCAGTTTTTATTTTATAGCAATTATCATTATCTTCTCCGGTAGTTCAACTATTTCATTGACAGTCTAAGTCAGACAGTGTCCTAAGGTGTCGAATTTATATTAAGTATATATTTGAAAGCATTTTTTTTACCCCAGTTGTGGCTTCTTGTTTAATCGTATTAGCATTGTCTCACAAGATCTTCAGCAATCTTCCTTTTTCTTTTTTTCCTCCTCACAAGTAAACCTTCTCTCCTTTGATACCGGTTTTCCGGAAACCTATACATTTTCTGAAAGCTTATGTCACAAGTGGAAAAACTGTGAAGTCTTAGGGTCAGAGAAGCGTTTAGGAGCTATAGGACCCATAAATTATCATTAAAGTGTGTGTAGATGGACATATTCCCGTAGTAACTGTCCCTATTTCTTGTATGTTCATGCATTGTCTGCTTCCGAAGTACCTGATGTTAAAGTCCTAATAAAAGAACTAGTACCTGAAGAATGTAGAGGAAAGATCCAGCCTCTGGATATTTATTTCTTCAAGCACTACAAATATTTTGTTCCTTCCATAATGGACACAATCATTATCAAGACACCAGGAGTACCTTTGGCATCGCGATAGTTTTCTGGCCCTGCAGACTTTTCACTATGTCAGTTCAGCTCTCATCGTTTCAAGAATTTGATTAAGTATGGCCTTTTTAAGGGTGGATACTTGGACGACGAACCTGAAATGTGGATTACTGCTTCGATTCATTGACAAATGATGAGTGTGCAAAGAGTAAGGCTATCGCTTTTGTAAAATATGCTCAATGTTATCTGTCTCTCTTCCCGTTTCACTGTTTATTTGATGAACTGCACATTGATTGTCTCTTGTAATAGATTTTAAAGTTAACAACAAGTCACATTTTCAACATCCCAACGTATATCGTTTCTTTTCAACGAGTTGTTGTTTCCTTTATATTGAAATCTCCATCTTCTTACCGTATTATTAACTCATATAAATATGTGAAACGCGCATTTTCGTTACGTTTGGTGTCATGTTTCCAACATTATACTGATACTTGGTGGATCCTATAGCTCCTCAACGCTTGTCCCTCTGCCTCTAAGATTTCAGTTTTTCTACTTGTGGCATAAGCTTTCAGAAAATGTATGGGTTTCAGGGAAACCGGTATCAAAGGAAAGAAAGTTTACGTGTCAGTACCTTGTTCTCTTGTTTTCTCATTTTCCCATTTCATATGATTAGCAATTTAATCGGTATCTACAGCGATATGCACATTTCTAGAATCGTAGTTAGCAGAAATGAGAGTAATTGCTTGAGTTCTAGTTACAGTGAGGGTAATTAGTTTTCCTTCCGTTTTTCTAGTCAAAGCCATTAAAGGAGCTTGCATTTCTGACAGTACTTGTTGCATTTTTGCCATCTTTTTTATGAATAGTCATTCAAATTAATAGCAGGAATAATTTTATACACACGTTCAGATCACAGTGTATGTTAGCTAACTGTTCATATAGCTAGTCGAGATAGTTTGGTTATTGTTGAAGATGTCGCAAATAATATTAGGATATCTCGTATTAAAAGGCTCAAAAATTCTTTTTAACCTATTAAGTCAAAGCGGGTGTTAATTTTTTTGCGCCAATTGTTGCTGAAACCTCAATTTACCGGTAATTTTGTTATTATTTGAGTAAAATATGACCATTGTTGAATGGGCGAACTAGTCTAAAAGATTCAGCAACTTATTTTTTATAGAGGTATCGAAAAGGATTTAACATTGTTCCATCTTTAAAACTTTGTCGGTTTGAAAGCAGTATTTAGGGCATTTCCAAATTTTTTTGGCAATGTCGCTAAACTGATACATCTTATATCTCTTTATCTAGTCGCATTATTCTTAATCTATGAAGTGCACTTTACGTGGAATATTCATAATGTAACATGATATAATAACTGAACATTTATTTAAAGAGCTTATGTGAGATAATTAGATGTACTTATATCATTTTGTAATATATAAATATGAGTAATGCTTAGTGAAGAAAAAAAAGACAAATTATTTACCCCTCAGTGTCTTAGTGAGTATGCAAGTATAACATAGTGGGATTTTAAAGTTAATGTTTATATATCTGCATTTCGCATCTTAAACCTTTAGAAAATGTCACTCATGAGACGTAGCTATTGTATGGAATGCTGATGTATATGTAGGTAAACATTTAAAAACACAAGATTATCTTATTCATTACATTATGTGACTTCTGAAGAGGCAGCTTGACTAGAATAACCATACATGCATGCTATCTGATACGAGTTTGTATGTAAAGTGATTTTAAGTGATGCTTTTCATTTCTATGTAAGTGAAAATGATTTTTTTACTGTGTTTATAAGTATGTTTTTGGCTGTTTCTGTAATACTACATGAAAGAATTGACCTTTGTAAAAAAGTGTAACTCTGATTAGAAAGGTGTCTGCCGAAAACGTCGCGGACGAAAACGTTGCGGAGAACAGAACGCAAAGTAAAACCCTCGTGCAAAATTTTTGGGGGGGGGGGAGAAAGCAAGAAGAAAACATCGTAGTTCTGGTTTTGGTTTATGTGATACAGCAAAGCTTCGAAGGCTATCTGCCTGAGGAGAGGGATGCCTTCATGGAGGACATTCTAAGGAAAACTGGCTCGTATACATATTACACATGAGGAAAACCACGAAACCCCACATGCAACCAGCCCATTCGCGGGATTCGAACCTTGGAAAGAACTACCAGTGTTCAGAGATTTTACCGCTCAGCCTCTGGTGGACCATCGCAATTCTAAAACATCGTTGTTTTTTCAAGCTTGTAATTTTAAATGTATATTCGCATAATGATTTGATGCAAGAAGGAATGAGGAATAGTTTTACTTCTATAGTTCATGTTTTTGAACTAATCAATAATTTTTGGCTAAAAAAGCAAGGAATACATTTACGCATTCAGAAACTAAAAATAAGTAGATAATTAATGTTATGCATTGCAGTTATCAGAATTTTAAACTTATAGAGTTATTTATTAAAGGGCCATTACTTAATTAATCTCTTTTATAAAGTTGTATAGGTAGAGTTTCAGAAAAAATATAGTCTAGAAAATATTAGATAAGAGGAAATAAATAGCATGAGATTACCTATATTAAAATTGTTTAATTAATTAAGTTTAATTAAAATTATTTAATTAATTAATTCAGTTTAATTAAAATTGTTTAATTAATCAGTTCATTTACAGACTTTGAAGGCGAATTTCTTTCTTGCATTTTTAGCAAAAATTATTGATTAATTCAAAAATATGAAATATAGAGTTAAAAATATTCCTAATTCCTTCTCGCGCTCATAAATCATTATGCGAATATTCATTCACAACTTCTAAAGCCTGAAAAACTCATGTCTGCAATTGTATCATCATGCGATGATTTGTAGATGCTTTATTTTTTACCGCGATATTTTCTACGACAATGTTTTGTACCAAAACGATGTTTGAAAACTGCGAAGTTTGCTTTGCTTTCTTTTCTCCCACGATGTTTTGCCCTCCGTTGCTTTCACCGCGATGTTTCCGTTTGTGATGCCATTGCCGCACTGTTTTCGCTTGTAACCATTAGAAGATAATATTTTAAATTCTTTGAAGTAAATAAACAATATATTTTAGTTTAATGTCTTTTTTATTTCTTTGTAACTGCTGAAAATACTTTTCGTTTCGGTTTGTAAGAAATTCTTATTTATTTTATTATGATGTAGCTATTCTGAAGCTTAGTGTCCGAAACTTTTCTGTACGCATTATGTTAGCAAATAAAAAATTTTTCTTACGTCACTTATTTTAAACTTGCGTAAATGAATAGTATGTTTTAAAGATCTATTTGAATACTTAGTGTAAAGAATTATGTACATGTATTTTCATACAAAAATTATATATCCGTGGCAACGAGAAACCTCCAGCTTTTCCTACTTTATGCTTTTACGGAATGATAGTGAATAAAGAAAATTATAACTTGCCGTGACTTTCATCGTTAATGTAGAAAAATCTATTTCACAAATTATGTTGAGGAAACCCCCCTTTTCCCCCAAAAAATAATGTTCAGAACTAATTGATAATTTTTAACTCAAGTTCAGACTCAGTCAATTCAGAAAGCACAAAAATAAATAATTTATGAGGTAAATCTTTTTAATAATAAGGTCTCATTATATTTTGGAAGGGTGCTATTATTCTTATAAGTTACTTCACCAATTACAAAATATATCCTTAGCTTGACAGATCACTTTTACAACAATGGAGTTTATTCCAATATTAGGGACAGACTAGAGTTAACAGAAATTTAGCAAAAAGAATTGCGAACACATTTGCTGGTAATGAATAGTTGGAATGGAAATTCTGTTACTAGTCGCTTGCCTTTGTAAAAGAGAATCTTATCTTTTGACTCGTGAAGTGAATGCCGCACTGAAAGTTTGATTTGTATTAACAGTTATCATAAACTCAAACTTGTTTGCATTTTATTGCACAATTAATCGCCATTATCGATTTTTATTCGTCATACTATCAGCTATTTGGCTGCGTGTGAGAAAAGACAAAATTTCCATGTTGCTTTCGCCTAACTTGTCAATACAGTGAAACATTTTTCGAAAATCTTATGTGGACACCACATAAGATTCCTTATATGGCCTATTAAATAATACACATTTTTTGTTGCAACAACTGGTATTAACTATTGTTAGATACTTACAGCAATAAGCTGATATTAAATACTGTTATATATTTATTGTTTGACTAACTACATAGATTAACTATTAATATATATGTAGTTAGATTTCGCTGTTTGTCGAAAATTATTTTTTTTTTCATTTGACATTACTAAAACAGGAATATTTCGCCATTTAAAACACTTCTGTAAAACAGTGACCAACGATTGCGAAAATAAAGGCTGGGTAAAGACTTTTAAGCCTGCCATGGGGTTGGGTATATATATATATATACTAGAAAGCCCGGCGGTCATACGAAATGACCGCTGTTCTAGATATTATAAATTGTAATTAAAATGATTTGTGCAAAGGTGTCTGCTAATTTAAACTGAATTACCCAGGGCAGGCGGCGAGGACGACCCTTTGCTTACTGCCCCATGGGTTTCCCCCTTCTACTTGCGTAATTACTTAAAGTAGAGTGCAATGAAGGAAACCACTGGCGGTACATTTCTTAAGAGCCACCGCTAGCTCAATAAATAAAGGTGATTTAAGTAATGAAATGTTAATTCACATGTCAAAGATTTCTTTGTACACAACATTTCTTGTGTAGATCTTTCCATCATTTTTAAGCTCGCCTTACTCGACCATCAATTTCTCAATCACTTATCAACTGACAATCATTTAAGCTCGACCATCCAATATTTTTAATTTTACGTCCGTTCTTTCTCGAACTCTTCAACAGGCAACATAAAGTTGAGCATGTCCAAATGCAGGCTCAGGTAAAAAAAAAGTTTGTCTCATGTCCAAGCGCTTAAGCGTTTGGCCATGAGACTTACTGATGGTCATAGCAAAGGCAAGTTTTACAGGAAATTGTGTACGTCTCAACTGAAACGGCAACCCTATGCCGTAGCAACTTCACTCCATTGGCTAGTACAGTTACGCAAGCAACCAATAAACTATCGGCGACAAACAGACACTTAAGCGGCATATATATATGGGGTGAAGTAACATTATCTCCTACGAAACGGCTGGCTCCCGGGCTTAGCGAAGCACACCGTTGAATTCCGCAGGTCCGTGGCACGCCATTTTGACCATTCGTGTCTTCTTGAGACTTTAGTTAGCCGAGATATTAATTAAAAACTAATTTTCCCCTACGTTTACCCTACATTTTCCACTTTCTTTCGTGGTTTTTCCCTATGAAAGGGGTTTGGCTACGTGCCAAATTCTTTTTTCTCGAATATCTAAGGAACGGCGCCGAGTTGAAATTCGAGACGCGCATCCTCAGATTCCAAAAATTTCTCCGAATCCATCGATATTCTCATTTTCATACGACTTTAATCGGTTGAGATATTAATTAAAAACTGTGGAAACGTTAATTTCCGCGCTCATTTTTCGGAGTGGCTACAATAAACTATCGGCGACGCACACTATAGCCGCTTATATATATAAAGATATATATAACAAAATATAATAGCTGTTTCAAAAAAATAATTGGTGACCTCAAACTGAACATTTTAAATTTGGTCATCTGCCCCTAAATTCATCTCTGCTCACATGTTCCAGATTTTTCTATCTTACGTAACGTTTTAATGCAGTTGCCTCTTGTCCAGTCAAATGAATTGTAAACCAAAACTCTGAGCTGAAACTTTGCTTACTGCAAAACTACTTACTGAGGTGAAACTGCCGCTTACATGCTTAAGATAACGTCGTACTTCAAAATGTAACTTCTGTATTCAAATATAATTAGGAAACATCTTGTCCGAAAAAAGGATGATTTGATATACGTAAAAAAAAAATTAACATTGTCATTTTTCAAGATACATTGTCCTAAATTGCGTCATCATGCTTTCCACTCTGCCACCTCAAGCCACTACGGTCTTCTCGGTCATCTACGCATTAAAAGTTCCACTGTTAAACTATTAAAAGTTCCACTGTTTTCATCTACACATTTGGAATTATTACATATTTATAAAAAGTTGACAGGATAGCTTATGCGAAAAAGGGAAGATTATGATAGAACTTCAGAGGAAGAAGATTGGGAGTGGGAAAGTTTCAGTTCAGAGTTTTGGTTTACAATTAATTTGATTGGACAAGAGGCATCTGCATTAAAACGTTAAGATAGAAAAATCTGGAACCTGTGAGAAGAGATGAATTTAGGGGCAGATCATCAAATTTAGAATGTTAATTTTGAGGTCTCCAATTATTATTTTTTTTTTTTTTGAAACAGCTATCATATTTTGTTATGTCTTACATATATATATATATATTTGCAAAGACGAGGAAAGTTCTAAAAAGCTATAGCTTAAAAGTACATTTGATATTGTAGTTCCAGAGTAAAAAAGTTACACTATGTATAAACAATAATACAATACAAAATAAGTAAAATTCTCCAATTAGGTGAGATGGCGTTAAAGGGGGAAACAAAAGTAATGAAGCAGTAGCCAATAGTACGTAACGGCCATTGGGGAAAACCTTGGATCCATAAATGGGGGGGGGGGTTCGAAGATGGAAGATGGATGCTATTCTTATAAAATGACGTCTTGTTCAAAACTGAGTCGTGAAAAAAATTGTGAAGGCGAAAACAGAATGACGAAAATCTAAGAAAGGGTTAATCTGGCCAAAAGCAGTTGAAAAATTGTAAAAAAATCAGAAATTAGTCAGTAAAGTAATTGCTATTCACGAAGAATTGCGAAATCGTAATTCTTCGCGCTAGAGAGAAGTTTTTTTTTTTTTTTTTTTTTTTTTTTGAGTAGGCACAATTAATGTGCCAACTTGATTGTGGCCGCAAAATGTTTACTGAAATAAAAGTTGAATTAAATATGCCTTGACTGCCAAACTTCTTATTCATTGTGGATCGGCTTTTCAGCATTCTACGACATCAAATTTTTTGCTGTTCATTACGGATTCAACCGCCTGCGTTCTGCTACAGATTACAACAGAGTCGACAGGAATGTGTACCTTTGGGTCCAA